ACTGCCTCTCTGCTTCTCCAGCTTGCAGACGGACTCTTGTAGGACTTCACCTCCATAATCATCTGAGCCATTACACCTAGTAAATACCCTTTCATATATCCTATTGGTTTGTCTCTCTGGAGAACCCTGACTAATACAGTCATGTTTACCACATCACTATTCATAATAGCCAAGACATGGAATCAACCTGTGTCTATCAGTAGATGACAGATTTTTTTTTTTTTGAGTTGGAGTCTCACTCTGTCACCCAGACAGATTTTAAAATGTAGTATATATACTTATACACAATGGAATACTATTCAGCCATAAAAAAGAATGAAATCCTGTCATTTGCAGTGACATGGATGGAACCAGAAGGACAAATATCACATGATCTCACTCATGCGGAATCTAAAAAAGTTGATTTTACAGAAGTAGACAGTAAAATAATTAGAGGCTGGAAACTGTAGGGGTGAAGGGGACATGGAAGGAGGTTGGTTATCAGGTACAAAAGTTACAGTTAGATAGGAAGAATAAGTTCTGGTGTTCTATTATACAGTTGGGTGACTATAGTCAACAATAATATATTGTATTCGTCAAAATAATTAGAAGAGCGGTTTTGAATGTTCTCACCACAAAGAAATAGCAAGTGTTTCAGGTGATGGATACACTAATTACCTAGATTTGATCATTACACAATACATATATGTATCAAAATATCAAATTATACCCCATAAATAAGTACAATTATCATGTGTCAATTAAAAACAACATAAATTTTTAAAAAATTGCTAAGAGTTCATGTGCGTTCACCACAAAAAGTGATAAAGAATATGATGCAATTCATATTAGCTCAGTTTAGCTTAATATAATGGTTAGTTCGATTTAACCATTATACAATATATACATAATTCAAAACATGTTATATAAAATAAACATGTATAATGTTAATTTTTCAATAAAAAGTCATTGGTTCAGAAAAAATAAGATATATAAATGACCAATAAGTACATGAAAAGATCCCCAACATCATTACATAATGGAATATTATGCAGCCACAAAAAAGGACAAAATTATGGACTTCCCAGAAACTTGGATGGATTTAGAGTCTATAATACTCAGTGATCCATCACAGAAACAAAGAACTGAGTACCACATATTCTCACTCATAATTGGACCCTGAACAACTATCATGATACTACAAGAAAGGGATTGGCAGTAGTGGGACACAGTTGGGGGGTGGCACATAACATCAATAAGGATACCTGATCTTAAACCAGGTGAAGTGAGGATCAATGGGAGGCTCAAACTTCACCTGTATGATGACTGCTTATGTACCTAATCCTGAACTGTATCTCACATCTTTAAAATAAAACAAACAAAAAGCTAAAACCCCAAGGATATACCCACTATAATGGTCAAAATGAATAAGACTGATAGCACCAAGTATTGGCAAGGGCATAAGGCAGCTACAATTCATACACTGTTGGCTGTGTAAAATTATACAACTACTTTGGTAAAACTTTTTTGCAGTTGCTTATGAAACTAAGTACTCACCTGTTTTATGACAGAGCAGTTTCACTTTTAGCTATATACCTTAGTGAAATGAAAACATATCCACAACTGAAAATCTTCTACAAAGCAAAAGAAACCATCAAGAGAGCAGGGAGACAGCTCACAGAATGGGAAAAAATATTTGTCAAATGTATGTCTGACAAAGGCCTAACATCTATGATCTACAAGGAACTCAAACGTGCTGAAAAGAAAAAAAAAACAAACAGCCCCAGTACAAAGTGGACAAAAGATATGAATAGACACTTTTCAAAAGAAGACATATGAGCAACCAACAGATACATGAAAAATGTTCAGCCATACTAATCATCAGAAAAATGCAAATTAAAACCACACTGAGGTACCACCTAACTCCAGTCAGGATGGCCATCATCAATAACTCAAAAAACAACAGATGCTGGATAGGATGTGGGGAAAAGGGGGCACTTCTACGCTGTTGTTGGGAGTGTAAACCGGTACAACCTCTGTGGAAAACAGTGTGGCAATTCCCAAAAGATCTAAAAATTGACCTTCCATATGACCCAGCAATCCCTCTTCTGGGAATATACCTGGAGGAACTCAAATTACTCCATGAAAAAGATATCTGCGGCCGGGCTCGGTAGCTCAGCCTGAATTCCCAGTGCTTTGGGAAGCCGAGGTGAGTGGATTTCCTGAGCCTGCGAGTTCGAGACCCACCTGGGCAACTTGGCGAGACCTCATCTCTACAATAAACCAAAATTAACTGGGCGTGGTAGCACATGCCTTGTAGTTCCAGCTACTTGGAAGGCCGAGGTGGAAGGATCACCGGAGCCCAGCAGGTCGAGGCTGCGGTGACGGGGAGCGTGCCACTGCACTCCAGTCTGGGTGATGGAGTGAGACTCCAACTCAAAAAATAAAAATAAATAAAAGAAAAAGATATCTGCACATGCATGCCTACTGCAGCATCATTAACAATAGCAAAAACATGGGACCAACTGTGTTCCCCATTGGAAGTGGACTGGATAAAAAACAGTTGTACATATACACAGTGGAATATTACACAGTCATAAAGAAGGACAAAGTTATGAACTTTGCAGCAACTTGGATGAATTTAGAGTCCACAATACTCAGTGATCTATCAAGAAACAAAGAATTGAGTACCACATGTTCTTACTCATAAGTAGACCCTGAACAATGATCATAATACCATAGGAAAGGGATTGGCAGTAATGGGAAACTGCCAGGGGAAGCGGGGGCACACTTCATCAATAAGGTACCTGATCTCAAACCAGGCGAAGTAGGGACCAAAGTTAGGCCTAAACTTTACCTGTACAATGATCATTTGTGTATCTAATCCTGAAGTGTACCCTACATACTTAAAATAAAAAAATTAAAAAAGAAAACATATCCTCAAAAACACTTTTATATGCAGCTTTATTCATAATAACCCCAAACTGGAAACAGTCCAGGCATCTATTCACAAAATAATAGACAAACAGAATGGAGCAGGCAAAACTAATTAAACTGTGATTTCCTCTGGGAAAAAAATTAAACTGTGATTTCCTCTGGGTTGTGTGTGAAGGAGTATGGGGATTCTTCCAATAGTGATAGTAGTATTTTATGTCTCAATAGTGGTTTGAGTTACAAAGGTACATCCATTTGTCAAAACTCAGTAAGTGTATATTTAATATTTTTATACATCATTGCATATAAATTTTAACTTAAAACAAATACATAAACAAATATGAACTCTAATAATATAAATATTGAGGTATTTTAGAGAGATGTATACTGATATCTGCAGTGCGCTTTCAAATGCATAAAATAAGATTATCTGATAAATGGATAGATGAAGAGATAAGTGATAAAGAAAGTATAGTAATATCTTAATGGTAGAATCTAGGTGGAGGTTTATACTTTTCTATATGTTTAAGAACGTTGGAAAAATATTGTTTTAGGTAATGGGTATACAAGAGATGACTGAGGGAGAGTTTCCCAGAGGAACTTATCCAGGGGAGGTGAATTAATATTTACATAGCTCCTACTACAAGTCAGGAGCAATAGTTTATTTTTATCTTCCCAAAACTGGGTATAGTAGGCATTATTGCTATAACTGAAAACTCATGACCAGCAAGTTAAGTGACTTGTCCAAGGCTAAGAATCAATAAATGGCAGTCAGGATTTCACACTTCCTTCTGATTACTACTCTTTGTAGTATATCAAGTTTTACAGCTACCTTCATCCTGCCTCTGCACCCCATATCTCCTTCCTTTATTGTTTTTCCTTAGCACTTATCATCATTTGTTATATTATATATTTGCTTATTTATTTTTTATTAATTGTCTCCTCCCACTAGAATGAGAATTCCACAAGGGTCAGGAATGTTTGTGTGCTTTGCTCACAGTTGCATCTCCAGTGGCAAGAACAATGGCTGGCTCTTGGTAGATGCTCAAGAAATATTTGCTGAGTAAATTGAATTAATGCACAGTAGGTGTTACCTTGGAATAAGTAGAAGCAGGAAAGGTAATCCATATTCAAAGCATCATAAGAAAATGCTTGGCTACAAAATGCACAATTGGCTCCAGAAGCCTAAAGCAGTTTGGTGTAGCTAGGACAGAATGTGTGTGGGAAACACAAATTGCACGGTATGATGCTAGAAGAGTAAGAAGAGATCAGATCATGCAGAACCTTATAAGTCATGAGGAAGACTCTGTTCTTTCTCTGACAGACATTGAGGAGGCTTAGGATCCTAACAGGGGGGCAAAAGATAAGAATTGTATTTCAGGAAGAATGTCCTAGCTGTAGCATGAAAAATGAATACAAGGGAGGCTCATGGTGGAAGCAAGGACATCAGTGAAAACTTCAGCAATGGTACATAAGAGAATGGTCTCACTGAAAGAATGGCATTGTAGATAGAAAGCAGGGGATGGTTTGAGAAAAATTCAGGAGGTAGAGTCGATAAGATTGTGTAGTTTGAAGGAGAGGGAAAAATTAAATATTACTCTTGGTTTATTGTTTGGGAAACTTGGTGTATGGTGGTGCCATTCAGTGACACTGCGGAAACAAGTGAAAGAGTGGGCTTAAAATGAGTGGATATGATGAGTTCAGTTTTGAATGTTATATATTTTTTTGTATTTTAAAAGATATCTAAGTTGTGATATCCAGTAGTCAATTAGATACCCTGGTCAAAATCTGGGCTAAAGACATAGATATTGCCATTACGACTTTGGATGCTGTAACTAATCACTGAGGATAATTTAATAACTGTTTTTCATTTTAATAGTGTTGTCATTTAAAAACGACTACCACAATATCTGCCCCCTCCAAATAATTTAATATTAGCCTATTTATTATTCCATGGGAATTATAATAAGAATATAAATTATTCTATAATAAAAAGCTATAGAGTAGTAAGATTAAAATGTGGCATTATATTAGAAAGCTATTATTTGGCAAATAGATTACATGGGGGATAGTTCTTTGGCACTCACCTGATCAGATACAGCTCTTTGTTCCATGGGTATATATTTAAGACTGGTCCAATCCCTATCATGTGGTTGCGACATTGTCCAGTATCTTCAATATATTCATGCTTCAATGGCACTTTGCTGAGGAGTTCAAATTCCTCAGGAGCTTTTTGAAGTACCTGTTCTGCTGCATAGAATCCATCTACTAGCAGTGTCCTGCCACCTGTTCCTTCATGTTTAAGACAGTGAAACACTTGAATGCTAAAGAGGGAAAAGAAAAGTAAGTTCTTCTGTCCACTGGAGAAGAGAGAACATATCAAAATTATAGAAAATTATACACAAAATTATTATTAAAACTACTTGTGTTATTTTCTTTTGATGATGAAATAAATCTCATTTCCTAATTGTCTCTCATAGCCAGTTGTGCTTTTTGTGTTTTAAAATATTAATGCCACTAGATGTTTCATCTAAACATATCTAACATCTATATGTACTAGACCCTGGGAATACAGGCATGAATAAGATATAGCCTCTGTTTTTAAGAAGCTCATTGTCTAGTAAGAAGAGATGAAGCAAATAAATACCAATAACTAATGATAAGTGCTTTAATAAAGTTGTATATGAGATATAGTGGGACCATAAAGAAATGAATAATCTGTTCTAGTGGGATGTTGTATAATTAAATATTTTGGGGAAAAATAAGATGGCTTTGCCTAGTCTTCAAGAATGAGCAAGAATCGAACTAGAATGAGATTGAGGTGAGCAGAAGGCATTCTAGGCAGAGAAAAAGCATGACCAAAGATAGCAATGTAAAACAACAAGGCATATTTAAGGAAGAGAGTAAGAAGTTTCTATTGGCATAGCATAGAGAACTACATAATACTTTTAATCAGTGAAACTATGTAGCCATACTGACATTTTAAAGAGTTGATTATGGTGATACTGTGGAAGGTGAATTGGTAGGGAGCAAGATGAAAAAAATTTGAAAATTAACTTGAATAACTGAAATAGGAAATAAAAGTATTGAGAGCTTGGGCTTAGAGAGATGTGTTATAGAGGACACACATGAGAGATACAACCAAGGTAGAACTGGCAGAATTTGATAACTGATTATATATGGAGAATGAAGAACAGACAGAAATCTAGAATGACTCCAGGTTTCTCACTTGGGCAACCTGAAAAATGATAACACTATTTACTAAGACAGAGGTTGCAGGCAGATAATGAGAAGGTATGAGGGGTTAAGGAAGAAGTTCAGTTTAGGGCCATGTTGAAATAACCAAATCATATGTATCCGAATATGTCAACAGGAGAAAGGGAGGGTGACTATTAATGGACTGGAAACACTAAAGTAGAATTTTTAAATTAATGAGTAAAAATACATAGGAATTTAATCAAGTAAGCAAAAATAAGAAACATTAAGCAAATTACAATAAGAGATAAACATAAGGAGAGATGGAATAGAATCAAGAGGAATCTAATATGAATGCAAGTAAAACGAAAATAAGTTCTGGCCATACTGAAATTTCTGTGAAACTTTTAGGTTAGGATTATTTAGTGGCCAGTTAAAGATGTTTAACTCAGAAGAGAGGTAAATTTTGTAATCTATGGGTGGTAGCTAAAGCCAAAAGCACAAAATAAGTCATTTGGAGAGATCATTTCAAGTAAGAAAAGAGAAAAAAAGAGAATACCTTGAGGAACAATAATATTTAGAACATGAACAGAGGAAAATAAGCCAGCAAAGCAAGCTGAGGAAAAATGGTCAGAGGTATAGAAAGAAAGAATGGATATTTAAGAAGAGATAGTAGTTAATGGTACTACACTGCAAGGGTCAAGTAAGATGAAGGCACACACCGGATATGGCAATAAGTTAGTTGCTGGCAATTATGCAAAGAGTAACTTTAATTAGGAGGTGGATGAGTTTGGAAACCTAGCTGCCTATGGATTTGAGGGGTGAATAGGAAGTAAGAATGAAACAATGTTTAATATAGATAATTATTTTAATAAGTTTAGCTCTGGAGGGGAAGAGAAAGACATGGCTGTAGCTAGAAGAAGACAAAGTCCAAGGAGATACAAAAGTAGAGGACTGAGATATGAGAAGCTGATAGAGGAAGGAGTCAGTAGTTATGGAAGGGCCAAAGACAGAGAAGAGAGAAATCCCGAAGGAGGCAGGGAAAGATGAGATACAGAGCAAAGGTAGCTTTAGACAGGACAAGGCATACAATCATGAAGATGGTGATGACTACAAGGAATAAAATGATAATGATAATAGACAATATTTACTGAATACTTAATGTGTGTCAGGCAGTATGCCAAGTGCCTTAAATACAGCATATAATTTAATCCCTTAGCAACACTAAAGGATAAGTTTGATTTCTAATGCTATTTTACAGATAAAGAAACCAAGGTATAGAAAGGTTAACTTACTTGTCCAAGATCACAAATTTAACATATGTTCAGGCTGGGATGCAGATTCAGGTCTGGTTGATGCCATAGCCTGAACTCTTAACCATTATTACCATATTGCTAATCTACTTATTCCTTGCCATTGATTAGAAAGGGATAAACAGTTGTTTATCTCTGTTAGTGACCATAAAAGTAGAAGTTAGTCAATATTTGAACCTCAGCCCCTGTCACCACTTCTTATCCCATCTTCTCTTTCTTCCTTCTGCATCCCCTAGAATTAGGGTGCAGGGCTGTTGGTCTCTGCATATATTAATAACATTGAACAGGATGTCTAAAAGCTGTTTTTTCCTTCCTCCTATGAACACAATATTCTTGAATTCCAAACCCTTAAAGGAAATCAATGTAGCCATAATCAATTGCATATTATCCTCTCATACAGTCTTCAAAAATAAAATCTGTATGCACATTCACTTTACTAATATTTTGTATCTCAGGCTCATTATCTTATTTTGTATTAATGTTTTAAAGCAAAGTTTATTAGAGAAAAAAGAGGGGAAAGATAGACATGCCAGGGCTGTCATAGGTGAGAGAACCCACCAGGCTCATCATCTTATATGCACAAGCAAGATCAACAATAACAAAAAATAATCACAGAGGTACTTCTAATAAGTAGTAAATTGTAGGATAGTTAGGTGTAGTATATATTATCTTAGGCTTAAGAATTTCTGATGCCATGTGAAAAAAGTTATTCTTTGCAACTTTTTGTAAACCAGATTAAAATTCCTCTTAATACTATACCCAAAGCAGCTGTGTTTGCATGAATGACTCTTTTGCAATATGTTTTGTTTTGTTTTTTGAGGGAGGTCTCACTCTGTTGTCTTGGCTGGAGTGCAGTGACATGATCATGGCTCACTGCAGCCTCGAACTCTTGGGCTAATGCAATTCTCTGATCTCAGCCTCCTGAGCAGTTGGGACTATAAGCATGTGTCACCATGCCCAGCTAAATTTTTGATTTTTTGTAGAGACAAGCTATTACTATTTTGCCTAGGCTAGTCTTGAACTTCTGGGCTCAAGCAATTCTTCCACCTCTGCCTCCCAAAGTATGCAATATGTTAATAACTAAATGGAAGCAAACTTTACAAATTCTAAAACTAACGGTTAGCTAATATATTTGGTGGGGGATAATTTATAATTACTCTGAAAAAAATATAAATTTAACAAAGTTAAAAGTCCATTTACATAGTAAGGTGGGTCTTTAAATATTTTTTATTCCTATGTGTCTAAAGAAGACTGAACTAGGGTATTTCAAAATGATCATGCTTCTAGGCAAAGGCAAAGAAACAGTCACACAAATTCATAGTAACAGATTTGATCTTGGTTCAAACAAAATAGAAAATAATTAAGAAACTATCAAGACCATTATGTGTAAAAACCATATTTTGTAAAAATCTATTCCATTTACCCACAAGGCTCTTGAAAATAGGTAGTGTCAGTGTGTCGATCCAGAGCTAGCTTGGTGTATGCAGTGTCACCTCTGGAGAAGTCTGAAGTGAAATACCACATCCTTCCATAGATGGTTTCTCTGTAAATGAAATAAAGGAAGACCTATTAGCTATTTGAAATTTTCATTCTTTTCCTTCAAAACTCTTTCTAATGTTTTGTTTTGTTACTCACAAATAACAATAGATTTTTTGGGTTCCAGATTTCTATCCATAAGGTGAAAATGACAGCTGAACACAATGCCAGTCTTGACAATTCTGTCACTGAAGAAGATTCTAGAAAGTTGAGGGAAAAACTGTGGAAGTATAATGCATTCTGAGAGCTTAGAGAATCATCCCACTCTGTTTGTGTCTATTTTTCAGAGTCTTCAGTCAAGGTTTTTTTCCTGTACTCTCCTTCTTTCATAGAAAAAGATGATGTGGCTGCTTCTAAAAGTGATTTTTTTACTTTATTAAAAATTTTAAGCTGTTGTCTTTTATTAATATTATTATTTTCAATAACAGCATTCATTTGCTAATATCTTGGAAAATCCAATTTGCAAGGGTGACTGAAGAGTTTCTATATTCTTCATATGACATGGTAATGATTAATGTAAACCTTTACTCATCTTTTGGACATGGAGCTAATAAGGAAAAGAAAAATGAATAGATTATGTTAGCAAGTATTTAGTGACACTTCCTGTGTTATTGTTGCATTTCTCCTTGAGATATACTTCATAGATTTGATTTTGTAATTATTTTCCTGGTGAGCCCAAATCTGACTAAAGGTCATGTTGATTCTTAGCTTTCAGAGTTTCAGGGTTTATCTTATTCCAAGTCCAAATAGGAAGTACTCTTCCATTTGAACTATGAGGAGGAACCAAAAAAACAAAAAACAAAAACAAAAACAAACAAACAAACAAAAACGGAATTATTTTTTGGAGGATGGGCTCCTTGTAGTACAGGCTTCCTCCGCTAGGTAAGTGTTGTAGGAAGTCATTGGCATCAGTGTTGTGATGTAGCATTGTTGTGAGAGGCTGCATTCGGCTTCAGTTTTTGTTTTTTGAGATTCTTTCAATGCTTTTGCAAATTTCATGACGGTGATTTACATGAAAAATTTGCCTGCACAGTGCTGAATGTTCAGCAGTTTTTACCAAAAAGGCATAACCCCTGTGCCCCACCCTCCCTATTCACCCCACTCGTCCTGAGTGATGTTTTTTTTGTTTCCTCAGATGGAAAAAGTCCTCAAAGGGAAACGTTTTGCTGATGTAGAAGAGGTAAAACAAAAAAACAGCAGAAGCATTAAAAGGTATCAAAATTGATGAGTTCTAAAACTGTTTTGAGCAGTGGAAAAAGCCGAAGGTGACTGAAGCTTAAACATGTAAGAATGAATACACAATTTTTAATAAACAAATTCAGTTTGGGGGGGCTTCCCCCTCGTATAACACCTAAAGTTCTCTCGATTCATTGCTCACTAGCACTGTTTCTTTCACTTAAAATTTCTCAAACTGTCTTTCAAACTAAATGGTTCAAAGATGCTGCTGATTATGCTCTACCAGCACAGGGCAAATGACCTAGCATACTATCTGCTACACAATGAGCTATACCTGGGTCTTATTAAGTAAAAGGCAAGTAGTAATTATAATAAAGTAGGTTTACATCGCATTTAGTACTATAGGAGATAAATCTACATACCACCCAGAAGTGCAGAATGGTAATGAAAACACTACTGTGCTTAGGACCAGGAAACCTGAGCTATTTGAATCCCAGTTCTAAGTATCACTTACTAGCAGAGCAATTCCTGGCAAACTGCTTAGTATGTCTGAGTGTCAGGTGCCTCATTAGTAAGATAGGGGACAAAACACAAACTGAAAGGATTACAATAATGACCAAAAGGAAATAATGGGTGTGAATGTGCTGGTTAAACGCTATATACTGTTTTAAGGAAGCATCATTAACAATCAGTCTCTGAATCAAGCCTTAGGAATCATAGAAGTGCAAAACTGAATAATCTTTAGGCACCATATTATTCAATCCTTTTTTGAATAAACGAGGAAATAGATGACAGTGAGGGTCAAGGGTGTGTGTGTGTGTGTGTGTGTGTGTGAAATAGACTTGCCTATGGTCACACAACTGCTTGATGGTAGAACTCAGACTACTACCTGCTTCTCTTTACTTACAGTCGGTGCTCTTTCTAGTTTACAATGACACCTCTCACTTTGCGGATCACTGGGTTAGAAAAATATACCAATGATTTTGACGTCTTCATTATATTTTACACATAAGTGTCTTTAGAGTCTAGAAATTCAGGCCTCAAATTACTTCAATTGAGAATCCTCTTATTAATGATACCAAATATTCGGGATTGAAAACAAGGGTGACAGTACCTATTACACCGATTGATTGATTTATGCTCATGCTCTGGAAATTAATTATAGTATTGTGGATTTCAGTAAACTAATGAATTACCTGATCAAGCTGATCCTTTCTGCCAACTTCTGTGTGTGCTCTTGAGTGGGAGGGACATTTTCTACAAATGCAATTCCATACAGCAGAAAGTTTTGCAAAAACTTCTTCAGTCCCTCATTGGTTTCTAAGAAGCTCTGGAAATCTACAGATGGAACTTGGGCTTGCTGGTAGATTTCAGCATTCCATAATATTCTAGGCTGAATGACCTTTTGTTTCTGCCCTTCATAGCTGTTTTTCACCAGCCACTTCAAATCATATCTAGTCACATGACCATCTGACCCTTTTAAGGGGAAAAATAAAAGGCATTAAAATAGTAATTACAAATAATGCCAGTAATTTATTAGTTAAGAATGTTTTTCTTAGCAACCAATTACCCAGAACTGTATTGTTTATAAAACAAAATTAAAATGAGTGCCTAGAATGGTTCTGAGACAGAAATATTTGTGGGTTGAGCAGTATGCATGAATAAAGTGAATGAATGACTGAACAAATAAATCTTCACAGAAGGTAAATATATTTACAGAATTACAGCTGCATGGTAAAAGATCTTCTGGGACATTCATCAAGTCATCAAAGAATGGTAAGCCAAGTAGGGTTTTAGCCTACTTAGCACAATCACCTCTTGCCCCCATCCCCATCTTCCATCTATATAGGAACTCAATATTTGAGCTAGAAAGGACTAATCTTTATTTACAGATGGAAAAGAGTCAGTTTGTGACTCATGTAGTAATACACAACTAAGTACCAAAAGTGGAACTAAAACTCCACCGTCTTACTTCAGGCAGTTCAGTATTCTATGCTCTCTTCATATACTACATGACTTAGGACTTTTTTGTCTTATAATACAATGTTGACACATGATAAAGTGACTTTGTAAGTGACTTCACCTACTGTGCAAAAAAAAAAAATTAAAAAACCAATCCCAAAATGCCTTAGAAAATCTTCAGAATAAACAAAGGAAGCAGCAAAAGCATGAAAGGTTATGTTGGCAATTTGTTTCTCTTTTATACTTCTTTCTCTCCTTCCCTCTCCTTGATAACAAAAGGATATCACACTTATTGTAAACAATTTGAGTTTTTTTTTAAAGATGGCTAACATGGGGCATCACATGCCAGTTCTCCTCAGAAGGAAGATCGAAGTTGCTTGGTGGATGCCTATGTTTTGAGTAGAAAATAGAGGGAGAAGAAACTGGAACTGCCAGAGCACTCATGCGAGGAGGCTGGGATGCACAGAGAAAAATAAAGAAGGAAGAGTTGTACTGAGATTGACCCCCGAAGAGCTTAGAGCCCAACAGAAAGGGTAAGTGAGAATGCATCCCTGACCTCTCACCCCTGCAACAATCTGCTGACTGCTAAACATTTGGGGAGCCCCTCAGTTCCAATAACCCAAGGAAGCACTGTCTGTGGCAGTTGGAGATCTTCTCAGGAACAGAAAACTGGGTGCGAGCTACACAGCTGTGCCGAATACCTGTGGGCCCAGGTCAAAATGGCAGGCTCCCTACTGGATGCCCACCTGTGGGGGCCATTATCTTGCTCAGTGATCACCTGCCTGACGGTGAACCACTGTACTGCCAAACTACTTGTTGGCTTCCCCCACAACCTGCTTTGATTCTGACAAGCATAGGGTGCTGGTGAGCCCAGAAAATGGTGGGTTCCCTAGAGACCTAACCTTCAGTGTAGACCTTTCCTAAGGGAGGGGGAAGTACAGCCCTCCAAAACCCCTCTTGAAACAAAAGAAATGCAAACTCAGTGTCAGTGGTTGAAGTAGGCAGCATCAAAGCCCAGGTACAGACTAGAAGAAGGGGCCATGTCTTACACCATGCCCTCCTCCCGGTGCACAGTTGCAAATGTGGCCACAGCTCTTCCTGTTGGAGCTTGGGGAGCTGTGCAGAAAGAAGCCAGTTCTCCTGCTTCTCTAGCAACTCTACCCCTCTGACAGTGAGCCTGCACAAGGAGAGAATGCTTTTTGCACTTTTTCTGGCACCCTACACCTGCTGAGGGCTAGTATGCAAAGAGTAAAGAACTTACTTTCCAGTTCTTACTCTTAAGCACTATCTACTAGGCTACAGCCTCAACAACACTACCAAACAAAAATATATCACTAAAACAAGCAACATATGAGAAAGTCACTGAACAATCCTATTTGCAACCGAGAAATCTGTACAGAGCTGTGACCCCTTGAAAATACCCAGAAATGAAGCCAATTGAACATACAGAACATACAATAGAGTCATACCCACAAGGGAAAATAGATTTTAAAAATCAAAAAGCTCCATTTAGAGGATAGAACATTTAAAAAAAGAAGCATCACTATCTCGGATGAGAAGAAATCAGTATAGTACCTCACCAATATAAGAAGCCAGAGCGTTTTTCTCAAAGGATCACACCAAGTCCCTAGCAATGAATACTAACCAGAATGAAATGCATAAAATGACAGATAAGGAATTCAGAATATGGATAGCAAAGAAATTCAATGAGATCCAAGCGAAGGTTGAAATCCAACACAAAGAAGATTGGGAAATGACCTAGAACTTGAAAGATGACATAACTATATTAAGAAAAAACCAAACTGAACTTCTGGAATTAAATAATTTATTACACAAATTTCAAAATACAGTTGGAAGCTTTAACAACAGATTAGACTAAGCAGAAGAAAGAATTTCAGAGCTCAAAGACTAGTCCATTGAATCAACCCAGTCAGACAAAAACAAAGAAAAATACTTTAAAATAATGAACAAAGCCTTTGAGAAATATGGGGTTTTGCAAAGTGACCAAACCTAAGACTTAACAGCATTCCTGGAGGAGAAGAAGAGACAGGAATCAACTTGTAAAACATATTTGAGGACCTAATTTAGGAGAATTTCCCCAATCTTGATAGAGAGGTTGACATGCAGATACAGGAAATTCAGAGAACTCCTGAAAGATATTATACAAGATGACCATCTCCAAGGCACATCGTCATGAGACTATCCAAGTTCAACATGAAATAAAACAATCTTCAAGGCAGCCAGAGAAAGGGTCATATCACCTATAAAGGGAAAATCATCAGAATAACAGCAGTCCACTCAGCAGAAACATTACAAGCCAAAAGACACTAAGGGCCCAGTTTTAGCACTCTTAAAGAAAAAAAAATATCAGTCAAGAGTTTTTTACCCACCAAACTAAGTTTCATAAACAAAGGAGAAATAAAATATTTCCCAGACAAGAAGTCACTAAGGGAATTCTTCACCATCAGTTTGGCCTTACAAGAGATGTTTAAGGGAGTTCTAAACATGGAAACAAAAGAATGATACAACCCACCACAAAAGCACACATAAGCATATAGCCCACAGACCCTATAAAGCAATTACACAATCAAGACTACAAAGTAACTAGCTAACAACACTATGATAGGAACAAAACTGCACATATCAATATTAACCTTGAATGTCAATGCCTAAGTGCTTTATTAAAAAAACAAATAAACAAACAAACAAGCAAACAAAACAGTGGCAAATTGGTTAAAAAAAAAAAAAGCAAGACCCATCCTTCTGCTGTCCTCAGGAGACCCATCTCACATCTAAAAACTCCCATGAATTCAAGGTAAAGGGATGGAGAAAGATCTACCATGCAAATGGAAAACAAAAAAGAGCAGAGGTCACTATTTTTGTATAAAAGAGACTTCAAACCAACAACAGTAAAAAAGACAATGAAGGACAGAACATAATGGTAAATGGTTCAATTCAACAAAAAGATATAACTACTCTAAGTATATGCACATCTAATATTGGAACATCCAAGTTTATAAAACAATTACTACTAGACCTGAGAAAAGAGATAGAACAATAACAAGCCATAAAATGGAATCAGTAATAAAACAAATCTACTAACCAAAAAAAAGTCCCGGACTAGATGAATTGACAGCCAAATTTATCAGTCATACAAAGAAAAGCTAGTATCAATCCTACTGAAACCACTCCAAAAAACTGAGTAGGAGAGATTCCTCCCTAACTCATTCTATGAAACCAATATCATCCTGAAATCTGGAAAAACACAACAACAAAAAAAGAAAACGACAGATGAATATCCATAATAAGGATAGATGCAAAAATTCTCAACAAAATTCTAGCAAATACATCCAGCAGCACATCAAAAAGATCATTCACCATGATCAGGTGGGCTTCATTTCTGGGACACCAGGTTGGTTTAACATACACAAGTCAGTAAACATAATCCACCACATAATTAAAAATAAGAACCAACGTGATCTTCTTAATAGATGCAGAAGAAGCACTCAATAAAATCTATTATTTCTTCATGATAAAAACTCTCAATCATCCAGGCATCAAAGAAACATCCTTCAAAATAGCAAGAGTCATCTAAGAGAAACCCATAGCCAACATCATACTGAATGGGCAGAAATTGGAAGCATTCTCCCCAAGAATGAGAACAAGACAAGGATGTTCACTCTCATCACTCCTATTTAACATAGTACTAGAAGTTCTAGCCAGAGCAATCAGGCAAGAGAAAAAATAAAAAGCATCCAAATAGGAAAAGATACATTCAAATTATTTCTCTACACAGATGATATGACTCCATATCTAGAAAATCCTGATGATTCTACCAGAAGATTCCTACATGTGATAAGCAATTTCAGATTGTCTCAGGATACAAAATTAACATTCAAAACTAGGTAGCATTTCCATACACCTACAATGTTTAAGCTGAGAACCAAATCAAGAATACAATCACATGTATACTAACCACAAAAATAAGTAAAATAACTGGGAATACATCTAACCAAAAAGGAGGTAAAAGATCACTATGATGAGAACTATAAAATACTGCTGAAAGAAATTAAAAATGACACAAATAAATGGAAAAACATTCCATGCTCATGGGCTGGAAAAATCGATAGCATTAAAATGTCCATACTTCCCAAAAAAACCTACAGATTCAATGCAGTGCCTATCAAATTACCAGCATCATTTTTCACAGAATTAGAAAAGACAATTCTAAAATTCATATGGAAGCAAAAAAGATCCCAGATAGTCAAAGCAATTATAAGCAAAACAAACAAACAAACAAACAAAAAATAAAAACAAGTCAAAGGTATCACATTACCTGATTTTGAACTTTACTACAAGACTACCAAAACAGCATGGTACTGGTATAAAAATAGACACATACACCAATGGAACAGAACAGACAACTTAGAAATAAAGCCACTGACCTACAATCAACTTATCCGTGACACAGTTGACAAAAGTAAATATTGGGGAAAAGGATACCCTATTTAGCA